TCCTGTCCTTTCAAAGGAGTACCCATGCTGTGGATCTTGCTAAGCAGTCTTTCAAGATCCGGAAGCTTCTTTAGCAGGTCTGTGACTTCGGCCGCTTGGGACGGCGCACCCATCAGGTCCTCCATGGCATCTAAGCGATCTCCAATGGAGGATGGATTGCAAAGAGGGGCACAGAGCCATTGCTTTAGCAAGCGTTTGCCAAAGGGAGTGCAACACATGTCCAGTCGCTCAAGTAGGGTTCCCTCTGGACCTCCAGTTGAGCTGTTCTGAAGGATCTCAAGGTTAGCAAGGGTCACTCCATCCAAAACCATTCGTTGACGAGTCTGGGCAAAGAAACACGATGCTCCTCCAGCCTGCTCCATCTCCACGTCGACAGGAACATACTCCTCGAAGTTTCCCATTGAAAAAAGCTCCTTATCCACTAGACATTTCTTCAAGTAGAACATGCATCCGCCAAGTGCAGAAAGAGCAAGTTCATAACCTGTTTTTGGAGTGAGACTTAAAGCATCGCATTCGGACGCCATTGCTTTTAGAGTCGAAGGCAACACTGATGCCTTTTCATCGTCGGTTTTGCTTTCGTTGAAGTAGTCTTCCTCTGCAAGGACCTTGAGGGTCTTCTGCGCATCCCAAAACTGCGAACCAGCATTGAGGCCTTCTTGTAGAGTTGAAGACAAGATGGCCTTAAAGATTTTTAGCGTCTCAGCTGACGGGTTGCCCTTCTCGTAAAGCACCTGGGCTGGAGAATAATGTGCCACCAGAGTACGCAAACGGGAACAATGACGGTCATCCTGGAATTGACCGATATGGAAGTGTCCCACCGAGGTGTCAATGAAACACACCCCGTAGATGTGTCTGTGTCCCGCGCTGTCCTCCTCGCTCTTCTCTTTAATGCTCAACAGATACTTGCTTTGAGTTTCAGAAGGGGCGCCGTCGAGCACGCTGTACGTCTGAGTCCCTCGCGTGATGATTCGGCAAACCTCTCGCTTGACAACGCGGTCGAATTTAGTGGGACGTGCCAACGTCTTGCATCGAGCTTCCATCATCTCAGGGGTCTCGGTCTGTTCCACGCGAGCCACTTTGTAGCCCTTTTGCACGAGCACGTCTGAGAAGCGTCCAAAGCCGATTTCCGGGAAGCCAGAATGGGCCCAAGTACCCTTCATGAAGGTAAGACCGAGTTCATTGACGCCAATCACAGCGTCCATGTGGTAGAGCTCGTAGAACTTACCGACTTTGTAGAACAGAACGGTATCAAACATCTCAGATTTCAGCTGCCACCAACGGCGCATTCCAGGCGTCGTCCGGTTAAGGAAATCTTCGGGTACGTATAGAGTCGTAGGGTCGTAGTTTTCGTCAGACTGACGTTTGCGCTGTGCATCCTTTCTCTTGCAGTCTTGCAGCCACTCGAGCTTCTCGTGGTCCCACACAGTTGGTTCTCCATCCGTCCCGTTTGCGCTGCCGCTCTGACTTTCGAAGTTGTCCGGTGCGGAGAAAGCAGAAAGTCGAGATTTGGTGCCCGATGTCACTGATGAAACAGCTGCAGGTGCTCGTTTTGGGGGGTCTGGTTTGCTCTTTGACTTAGCAAGCTTTTCTGAAGGACGTTTGCGCTTCACCTGTTTCACAGGGCTGTCTGGTTCAGTCTCCGGCTCGCTTTCTTTTTCCTCAGCCCCGCTACTCACTCCCTCCTCGTCATCCTCGTCACTGCTTCCTCCTGCCTGATCAGGTTTGAACTCTTCACCAGAGTCATCGCTGTCAGACGCCACCACGATTCGGCGACGCTTCGGCTTTTGACCTTTTTCAGCTGCAGCACGAGATGAATGTCGACTGGCCTTCGCCTTTTCTTTAACCTCTTCCTCAGACATTTCTGCATCTGATAAGGTTGATTTATCAACCTACAATAAAATATTACATAATGAAATTAAAATAATGCAAATGTTGTTTTGCAATGCAATAATGCAAATGATGGTTTATGCAAATTGCAACTGTGAACTCACATTGCGCCTATATTTCTGAGAGAAGTAGAAAGAAGTTATTAGATTTTACTTTTGTAGTCAAAGCTTGCATGCACAACAGAAACACTTTGTTTGACAGATGCTGACAGGCAACTGCTAAAACATGAATGATCAACAAGTCAATATTTTCTCTTTAGTTCATCCCCCTAAAAACTACTTAAACTTACCTGTGTTGTTGCAAACCGGTATGACTTTATTCTTACAAATTTAAAGAGAACATTTTGGTGAATGTTAATGTTGCTTTTTACATTCCATGAAAAAGTAGCTACAAGTGAAAAAGAAAGTTTGAAAAGCCAGTTTTCAGTAAATAATTACTTTAATTTCCTGTTCCTCTGTGTTGTTGCAAACCGGTATGACTTTATTCTTACAAATTTAAAGAGAACATTTTGGTGAATGTTAATGTTGCTTTTTACATTCCATGAAAAAGTAGCTACAAGTGAAAAAGAAAGAGGCCAGTTTTCAGTAAATAATTACTTTAATTTCCTGTTCCTTGTGCAAAGCTATTGCATGACTTAAAAAATGTTGGAATATAGTACCCAAGTCGCATAAACTACTATGCTGCTTTTCTGTGTTGTTTTTGGCTGTAGACACTATGCACGGTAACATTGAGAAGTCAGTCATACAGATTTGGAAAGACTAAGACAAGTTAATTTTTAGTTTAACGATCCTCTTCAAACTGAATGTGTCTTTTATGTGAATATTAATTTTCTTTACTCTAGTGTTTGCTCACCTCCATATCCTCATCATCTTCCTCTTCGTCACCTGAAGGATCCATGCACATGGACATCTTCAGTCTCTGCTCAGGACTGTCCTTCATCGCAACATCTGCCAGCTCCATCGCTTTACGGATCACAGGCTTACCGCTGAAGAACACTCCACCTGATTTGGCATCTGCGCTATCAGAGCCTTTAAGGAACAAGTATGTAAGGTCAGAATAAAATATTTTTTCACATTTGAATAATTCTTTATACTCTAACTTGAGAAGAAAGTTGACAAAGACGATGTTCTTCTGGAAATAAAGACCTGCTCACCTTGATACTCTCTTATGTATTTTGTGTTAACCCAACCTCGGGTTGGTGGTTCATCAAAGAAGTGAACGTGGAGTCTTTGCTCTCGGCCACGGCCCCTCATCTGCTGTCCGGTGAGAGGCTGAGGAACAATCATACAGGGCCACCAGGGATGGCCTTCCATCTTGGCCCAAACCAGAGTGCCAGCGCTAAATATAGATGACGGTTCTCTGCTGGAGAGAAACAATGATCTTTGTGAGACATTCATTCAAATAAAGCAAGAGCAAAATCACATATCCACCTAAAATATGGTACAAAAATATTATCTGGTTCATCAATAAAAACTCATTAAACAAACTATGTTCAATATTAAGTACAGAAAACTTGAAAATGTTGTTTATAACAAGTTTAGATGCAGTACAACATGTCACACTGCTAAAAGTAATTGATTTGTAAATTAGTATGACATTACTGTACTTTTCATAACTATCATTTTATATATTAACACATTTAAAGCAGTCACAGACCCGACAGAGTAAACATTAAATATAGTAATTTAAAGAACACAGAACAAACCATATATAAGCTTAATAAAATAAGGAACTGGTAACAGTATATAACTACATACTAAATAAATACTATATACAAAATACTGTAAATAAAAATACCAATAATGTCGTAACAATAAACAACATGCTTTCAGGGTTCTTGCACTCGTTTTCGCCTCATATATATTCATCTATCGTTTATATAGACCTAAAATTAATGTATTATTTTAGAGTGACTATAACCGCAGTAGCGGATTTTAACGTAAAGTATGGTTGCTATGGAGAATTTTTGTAACGGACGCTCCTATTGGTAAAAACGTGCTAGAAAATAGTTCTTCTTAAGACTCCTTTTTCGTCTCATATATACTATTATATTGCATATAATAATCTAAAATTAATGTTGTATTATTTTAGAGTAACGACTTCTGTAGTAGCGGATTTTAACGGAACGTATGGTTGCTATGGAGATTTTTTTGTAACGGACGCTCCTATTGGTCAAAACTGGCTAGAAAAAAAAATCGCTGGGAAACTTGATCCACCCACTTCCACAAAGTCTCCCGCCAAACACGCAGAAGTAAATAGCACGTGGAGTCAAATTTTAGACACAATCCTCCGGTAAATTTTCATAATGAAGTCTCTGACAGTGCCAATAATCTACAAAATTCAAATTATTCAACTAATACTTGCAAAATGCACGAGGCGGTACGTTTGTCATGACTCGCGAGTGTCCAAAACATGGTTTAACAATGTCCAAAGCCCATGTAAGTTACTTCTCCGTTACTGCTATTAAATAATGCATACATTTCATTTACACCTAAAAATGTAACATTATATTGTAGGAAATGCCTTGCAATAAAATACTTAAATGTAAATTTCATGGCACAGTCATGACAAAACAGTACTGTAACAGTACACTAAGGTAACGTTACTTGAAGAATACCATTTCACTTGTAAATACCATTTTTTTAGTGCTATTGCATATATCAAAGTACTGTTAAAGTATATTACTGTACCGTGGTACTGACATGGTGTCACCATGGTAACAAGTACAAAATCTTTGCACTGCACATTTACTATGCAGTTACTGTAACGTTACCTCTCTTTTGCATTGACTGCTTTCTCTCCGAATAGTTTGGCATGTCCAGCTATAGTTTGAGACTTGAGGGGTTTTGATGGCGTTTTCTTGCTGTTGACTTTGGCTTCTTCTTTGGGTGAGGTGTTGGATCTGCTCACTGCATCTGCCTCCACTGGAGACGGGTTAGATTTGGCCTTCACCGCGAGAGGCGGCGACTTCGTGAAGAAATTAAAAAGAGAACTTTGCTTCGCCATGTCTCCAAAAGGGTGCTGCGCGCGCAATATAGTGTTTAATTATTCAAAAATACCCAGAACTGTCCAGCTCAACCGAGTTATTGTGGAGCTGAGAGTTCGCGGGAAAACGCTGCTGCTGCGCGGAAAAGGAAGAGGAGGATCGTTTTGACTCCACGAGACTAATGTGGACCAATTGGAAGCTCTGTGTATCCTATTACACAACCCACATGGCTGACATGACCTGCTTTTATTTTCATTTAGGTCTTGTAGAGGGAATGTATGTATTGTATTTGTTAGAACATGCGTGTGCGCTGCTTTCCTATTGTTTTTCTACATAAACACGCGCTAGACGGACGCCTTCGACCGTTGCGTTCGCGTCACGTATTAAAAACGCGACGCTGAAGTTACGCATGCCTTCTGTGTGAACCCTCCCCCCCTCAAAAAAAAAAAAGAAATGCAAAATAATGATAACAAAAAGACAGAAATTTGACATATAAGAGGGCACTAGCCAGCCAGTCTTCAAATACATCTGGTATTTATTTATTTATTTATTGTTTTATTGGAGATATTTTTGCACTGGAACGTGTAATTGTTTATATCTATTAATACCATGCGATCATACCTGTGACACGAATGAAATTCCTCCCCAATAATCGCTATATTGTTATCACCTCAAAACTGTATTATGGCTATTATATAACAAGCGCGGAGAAAAGTAACAGCAAGGATGTAAGGATGGACCAATCACAGTCGTTTGTCGTGATCAAATCAGAAGCGGTCGTTGAGCGTTGCGCTCGCGTCTTTTGCAGCGTCTCGCGACGTTCTAAAAACGCGACGCTCAAGTTAAAAACGCATGCGTTCTGTGTAAGCCACCGCCAATAGAACACAAACAAAAGCGAATAATAAATACAAATGTAAAATAATGAAAAGTAACAAAAATGACTGTTACTTAGATACTTATTTACAGCTGATAGAGACACAGAGACATTTTATTACACATTTAATCAAAAATACACCGTGAAGAATTAAAATAAGAGATTTATTAAATAGACACGCCGCCTAGGCCATGAAGCGTCGCTTATATTGAGATCCGCTGTAAGAATGTATTTGATGTAATATGTGAGAGAAGGCAGCATATTTGTTTGAAAATGATGTGATGGACTAGAAAGATTATGTCGTATTTAATTTTCCTTTTGCGTCAGCAGGGTGCAGTGTTGGCCCATTTAACGTCCCTCAACAAATTTACACGACATGTTTTTATACAGTCTATGGACCTCACGCAGTAAATGGTCGTATTTGTAATATTGTGATCCAGTGATACAGTGGGCTCTTAGACCACATTGAAAATCATTATTTAAACGGAACTGAAAGTTTTAGGATATAGAAACATTTAAAAAATAAATGTTTTAAAAGTTTGTAATATTAATGTAAAATTGTAATATTAAAGTTTATAGGATTATTTTAGTATCATTGAGATAATATTGCAGTTTTAATATTTTGAATTCATTTTTATTTTTGTATATTCTGTTTTCATTTTAATTTTATTTAAAGTTTTAGTAATTTTGTGTTTAATTTTTATTAGTTATTGTTTTGTAAAATATTTTATTAGAAAGTTTTATTAAAGTTTATAAAATATTTCAATATGTTAAAATTAAAATTTTTAGAATAAGTCAACATGACAAAATATAAATATGTTTTTACTATATGATTATAAATATACATATGTTAAACGAAATATAGTTAAAATTAATAAAAACTATATAAATATAATAAATATAAAATATAATAAAATAAGTTTTAAGTTTTAATTATTTTTTGTAAATCGAGTAACTAGCTTTGGCAACTTGCTGAAATCAAAATAAGTTATAATAAAATAAGTTTGAAATAAGTTATGTTAATATTTGATTTTATCATCATTTTTTTTCTTTTTTTACACTTTTACATTACTTTTTTGTATAGCTTTAATTAACTATAATAACCCTGATGTAAGATATGATATATATACATCTCTCTCTTTTTATATATTCTGCAGCATTTCTAGTTGACTAATCAAAAGTAAGTGAATTAGTGACAATCATGTGATCTCCTTCTACTTTGACTCAAACTGTCATGCAGGTATAATTTGCGATTTGAAAAAATGTATGAAATTAGACAAAATGCAGAATAGAGGCATCTGTTAGTGTTCTTGGATTTGGAGAATAGACTGTATGGATTTGAATTTGCATATGCAATACAGAAACATCAGGATTACAAAACGAGGGTTAGATGCTGTGACTGTTAATTTGACAAAAATCATACTGTATGTCTGTGAATTTGGGGATCTTGCCCAAATCTCCTAAACTGTTTTTGGAAATACAGGCATTGTTGTGTTTCCTCATCAATTGCAGTGGTGTTTTTATCCCGTCTGAGGTGTTCCTGGGAATTATTACGACTCCTGCTCTCTTGACAACTGTGTTTCTGTGGGAGGAAGAGGTGTAGGCTTCTTCATCAAGTCAGTAATCATCTTCAGGATTTTCTGTGTGTTCGGTAACACTGATGATTAAATCTGACAGACTGAAGTATAATAGCATGACTCGGTAGCAAGCTGTACTTTAAACTGCACACTTTCTCAGCTACACGCTCTCATTTGTTTGGTCAGGATCATTTCTAGACTCTCTCATTAAGTCGTCTGCGGTGCTTATGACTCCTCATTCTCACTATTCTTAGAGTCTAAGGTGTTTATCTGTCATGATGCATTGAATGTTTCTTCGTCTCATCTAATAGAATGCACTTTGTGTCTTTATCTAACCTTGACACTTTCACACAGAAAAACTCTGTGCCACACCTTTTAGCACACAAACCTGTAATGCTCCATTTGACAAATTAATAATCGATCCAATTAGGTGATTAGTGTATGTGGGAAAAGCGCATTCAAATACAAAAACAGTCCACAGAGCTCTTTGGCATATGGATATGAAAACTCTCATAACCTTTACAACAGGTAAAAATAACACACACCATGAGTCAGTATTTATGGTCTGAATCACAGGCTTTCGCATCGTATGTTTCTGCTTAGATATTAAAGATTGCATTTATTCTTTATATAAATCTTGGCGATTTAATGCTTAAATAAACAGTATTAGAAGATCCGAGGATTTTCCGAATGTTACAAGGAAATTATTTTGTGCTTTTACTCGCTGCACAGTGTACAAGCCTAAATGCTGCACGATCTATTGGTGCGTTCAAGTCATGTCGGATAGATCGTATTTACGAGTTGAACGTACATGAACGCCACCACAAAGTCGTTATTACGAGTGGGAAACTCGAAAATTTCTTTAAGCCCCGAGTTTCCGAGTTGGGGGCGTGACAATGAGAAACATGGCGGAATCGATGGACTGTTGTATTTTCTTGTAATTTATTAAAAGAAGGTACACCGCCATCTTGTGCCGACTAAACTGACTTGAACGCACCTGACGTCGTAATTACGACTTGTCAACTCGTAAGTACGAATGTCCCAGGAGGACTTGAACGCAGCATATCATACATGGTCTTTAGAGACAAAGACTTAATATAATTAATTACTAGACCCTGAGAGGTCAAGTAAATATCTACAGCGGATCTAAATATTTATAACTAATTATAACTAGTTATGATTAATTATTCATATTTCCCCATGAGCTGATTCGCTACAACGACATAACTAAGAAATTAATAGGACATAATGACTTTGACAAATCAGAACTGTGCTTTAAAATTTAATACATTTTAAAATGGGCCAGATATAGATGTTTGACATGGAATATAAAGTTCATATTTTCTCTGGCACAGACATTTTGCAGTTCTGTGTTGTTTTGTTTTTTGAGTTTTCTTTTCCTGTTTGCCCTTATTTGGTTTTGTTCCTCTCCTAGTTTAGTTCATCAGGTCATTATCTTGTTTAGTTCATTATCAGTTAACCTCCTGCTCCTGTGTTGCCCTCATTAGCTCCTCATTTAAGCTCAGTGCGCTGTTTGTTATTGCTGTTATGAGCCTGTCTTCTTCATCTTGGCGTACTATTAAATCTTAGTGAGGTTATCGTCGTCTTCGTGTGCCTTTCCTCGACCTGAGCGTGACAGTTGTGTCTGATATGAGTGACTGTTAATGGTTTTCTTTGTTGTTTTTAAGCCGTTTGTTGCATCTGATTTTAGAAACGATGAATGCGATGTGATTATGTGTGCATTTGTTTCAGTATTGCTATTGTAAAATGTAAACTTATTTAAAAATAAGTTTTCATTGCTAAAATATAAGTATTAGATTAAAAAAAAAAAAAATAGAAATTTAGAAATGCTGCCTTGGCAACTAACTGAAATAAAGTTTAAGTACTAAACTCACTAATAAAAATAAATGAAAGCAAAATAGAAAAAGTTTAAATAAAACCATTATAAAATATTTTGAAATGTTAGCTGAAATAAACCAAGTTTAAGTACTAAAATCACTAAAACTGGAATAAATGAAATGTATATTTAAAAAAAATTACAATAGCACATGGCAAAATTACTAAAACTTAAACTAACATTAAAATAAAAGCTGGAAGAATGAAAGCAAATTGAAAATATTAATAAATACTATAATAGTGTTTATATATTATATTAAAATAACAATGTGTTTTCCAGCTCAGCATAATGTCATTATATTGTGCATTAAATTGTGTTTTTATTAGGTGATCATTCGCCACTATACCTTGTCTTTCAGCGATGATGTTATTGTGTTTTCTTTGTATTCTGCCAACAGTAGTAATAACTCACTTTTATGAGGGAGTGTTTAATTTGACCTGGCTTTATAATACTCTTCCTTCTCAAATGGATTTGTTTGGCATCATTGAAGCTTAATTGCTGTTTGTTGAATAGGTTTCCCTGTAGCAGTCAAAATGACACACAGCGTCTGGCCAGGCTTGTGGTGTATGAGTGAGAGAGATTTCCCGTCTTCCTCGAGATCGTTCTGATTCTCAGCCTTTGGCAGATGCTTCAGCCGGAATGACTTCCAGTGCACTAATTGCAGGGAATGTAATTATGGAGCAAACTGTAGTTAAGTACTTAACTCTGGGGTTCAGTCATGACGGAGTATTGCAGCCTTCTCAGTAACTCTAGTTTCTGGGTGAATTCACCACCTTTGTGTTTGTGATCCAGATCATAAATCACTGCAATATAATTTCTGAAGTCATAGATTTTATTGTTCTGTTCTGGCACAAAGTGTCTTAAAGAGCCTGGCTTGCACATACCGTTTGTTATTTTAATATCATTGAGATACCATTATAATTTTTATTTATGTTTTATATATGTTTATTTATGTTTTGAATTCGTTTTTATTTTTATATTTTACATTTTAATTTTTGTTAAAAGTTTATTTTGTTGTGTGTTTTTGTCATTTTATTAGATTTGTGTGTATGTCTATATAGTTTTTGTTTTTATTCAAAATTTTTGTTTTTATTTCAAATCTAATAAACATTTTTACTAGATTTTTTGTATGTGTATATAGTGTTTGTTTTTATTAATTTTTATATTAGTTTTAGTTTTAATGATTTTGATACATCAAGGTAAACTAAATGAAAATGAGAAATGTTTCCTAGATCTATCTATCTATCTATCTATCACAAAAATGTATTATTTTTTAAATTTTTATTTTCTTTATTTATTTTTTTGTACTTTTGTCATACATCATACTTTTTGACATTTTTTGGTTTTGTTGTATAGGAAATGACATTAACATCTTTAGACACCACATAAGAAAGTAACTCTTACAACTTTGGAACGGCTGAGTAAATGAGCAAACTCATCTTTAAGGATCTTATCTTAAAGTCTCCGTAATTAATTCTAATGAAATGTTCAGAGTTTCAGTAGCATTCAGAGTTAACTAAGCGTGGATGTGCGAGTCTCAGACAGCTTCATCATCTCACTGTCTGGAGTGTAAACATCTCCCGCACCACTGCCTGCTGGGAAGAAATATCAAAGAAAGAAAGGACGGATGGATCGAGAGCTAATCTGAGTGTTAATTGGAGATCCGAGAATAAGACGTCTCAGCAGAAAGGAGATAATTAGGAGTCAGTACCCTGTGAACGAGGCTCTTTTAACCTGCTTCAGCATCATGCTGACCTTCAGCGCCACTGAATTCATCTTCGCTGAGTTTATATAGCAGGTTTAGCTCATAGTTCATGGGTTTGCTTTTATGGGATTTGCTTTATAGTTGATATTTAATAAGTGCTTTCTTTCGAGGTGACTTGTAGTACGCTAATTTCAGGGACAGAGCTCTTGGAGGGACCTGAGGTTAAGTGCTTTGCTCAAGGGCACTGGCGGCCGTTATCTCGATTACTCCGTTTCTAGGTCACCCCGGTTTGTGATTAACATTGCAACCTTTGTGTTAACAAAAAACTGACAATGTTGTCTGCACACTGAATAAAGATTTAGACTAAAAAGGTCTGGAAAAGATGCGTTATTTTTAAATTTGCATCGTGAAAAAAGCCAGATCAACATGAAAATGTTCAGTACATTACTTTCTTCAGATCGCTGAAGTATTCCTTACTGGATGGTTTCTTATAGGTTGCTTGTTAGGTCTTAGACTTATCTTTTTGTTAGATGATTAATGGCAATTATTATAGTAATTTCTGTGGAACAAAAAAATTGATTGGTACTTTTCTTTGGAAGAAAAGTGAGTGAAGCTTGCAATTGAAAAACTTGTTGCTAGGGTTTTCTGTGTGATTGTGAAGACATTTGGTTGGTAGGGTGTTTTGGGTGGATGGTTACTGGCAAAAGTGATATTTTTATATTTTTTAAATTTGCATACAAATTTATTTTTGTATCAGTGTTATTTTAGAGTCACTGAGATACTATTATAATTTTTATTTGAATAATTTCACATTTTTATTTGATTTGTTTGAATTTTTAAATTTTATTTGATCTAATTTTATTTTCATAATTTCAATAATTTTATTTGATCTGTTTTTAATGAAGTTTTATATTGCAATTATCAAATTAAATTTGTTATGATTTTTTTTTTTACAATTTTTGTCTTTGATATATTTTATTTTAAGTACTTTTTTTAAAATAGTTTTTGTTTTAGTTAACTATAATAACCCTGGTGCAAAGTCCAGTGAAGTAAAAACAGACCGATGCAAACAACATTTCAGCACATAGCTTTCTTCAGAGCGATGAAATAATGTACAAAATACTCTTTATTTTACATGAACTTTTGTGTTAAACCAGACAGGCATTTGTTAGTGTAGATCTTGCAATTTCTGTTATCTTCTTGTTTTACATCATTAAAGATGAAGCATGGTAATGTGTGCACCACCAAACAGAAGATTTGAGTGGTGTTTCATAAAAAACTTGCTATCATGATGGGTGGTTGCTTACTTTGCTCGAATCCCTCCTTAAATGTCAATCTGTGGGATTTTATGACCCGTCTTATCATCCAGCAGGTGAAAGTATGATTTCTTACTGAAGGAGCAGCACATCTCATGAGAATGTATTTTAATCAAAAAAATTACACAATTCACCTTTAGGCTACACCTTAATCTGCTCCATTAAAACAGTGAGAGAATTGATGATGTGCTCGTCAGGGATTCATTCTAATGTCCTTTTCTCCATCAGCATGTTCAATGCAGAAACACGCTCTAGGACTCGCATCGGAACCACTTGATCTGGTAAATGACTCCCTGTAGGAGTGCTGGATTATATGGTTATCACTGCAGTAAATCCCCGGGCTTAACCTGCGCTTTGCTCTGACACTCTCCATCAAGAGTCAGCGGATAATCAGCTGTTTCAACTAAACCGCACTTCTGACTTCAGCCTGAATTACACGCTCTGTCACAATAGTCATAAAGATGGCAGGCGGGGAGTAATATACCTCCCAATTAAGAGAAAGCATCAGTGATATAGTGTGCTGCTTGTACACTGTAAAAAGTGGAAACCTGCATTTGTTGCCTTAAAGGAATAGTTCAGCCAAAAATGAAAATTTGCTGAAAATATACCCACCTTTAGGCCATCCAAGATGTAGATGAGTTTGTTTCTTCATCAGATTTGGAGAAATGTAGCATTGCATCACTTCCTCAGCAATGGATGCTCTGCAGTGAATGGGTGCCGTCAGAATGAGAGTCCAAACAGCTGATAAAAACATCACAATAATCCACAAGTAATCCACACCACTCCAGTCCATCAGTTAACATCCTGTGAAGCAAAAAGCTGTGTGTTTGTAAGAAACAAATCCACCATTAAGATGCTTTTAACTTCAAACCTTTGTACGGCTAAAATATGAGTCCTCTATCCATAATATTAGTCATCTGAATCAGGAGCGAAATATGCACGGATCAAGCACCATTTACATTTACATTTACATTTAGACATTTAGCAGACGCTTTTATCCAAAGCGACTTACAATTGGGGGATACATAAAGCGATTCTTCTTAAAAGAGGCAAACAGATACAGGAAGTGCTTGTAATACCAAGTTTTTAGACATTGTTCAAATAAGTACACGCTAGAAAGAGAAGGAATAGATAAAGAGAGAGAATTTTTATTTTTTATTTTTTTTATGATGATGAAGTCAAGTAGCTTCAAAAGAGATGAGTTTTCAGCTGTCGCTTGAAAATGGTCAGGGATTCAGCATTCCAGATAGGGGTGGGAAGATCGTTCCACCAGCCAGGAACGGTGAACGAGAATGTTCTGGAAAGTGATTTTGAGCCTCTCTGTGATGGTACCACGAGGCGTCGCTCACTAGCGGATCTCAGACTTCTGGAGGGGATGTAGATTCGTAGTAGTGAGTGGAAGTAGGCGGGTGCTGAGCCTGTGGCTGTTCTATATGCAAGCATCAATGTCTTGAACTTGATTCGAGCCGCAACCGGTAGCCAGTGCATAGATGCACAGATATAAACACATTTTCAGTTAGAATGGATATTGATGGCTAAAAAATAGTGAAATAACAGGAGAATCCGAATATTTAGTCATTTTAAATTTTAGTATTTAAATTATTTAGTATCCGAATATTTAATTTTTATTATTGCTTTTTCCCCATATACTGTACATACAATATACAAATATACACATCCAATTTGACATAATACAACGAGAGAGAACAAATCAAACAGAAACATGACTAATAATCAGAATTACATTTAGTACTTTTGAATGCTTTAAGTATATACAGTATATATATATTTCTGCGTATACATATAAATACACGTTCATACATACTAATAATTTTCATATTAAAAATCTCAGTCATGTAATACACTTTACATATGGGGCATAGTTGTAGTAAATTAAGAACATTTCTTATTTGATATATTTCGGGGTATCAATTCACTGGTAATTAATATAACATACTCTGTACAATACAATTACTATAAAATATTATTATTATGAAATACAAGTGGATAATGTCTAAATGTCTAGATAGAAGAGGAGGGGTGAGAATTGTGTTGTGAAGGTGTCCAATTGGTTTTTGGCTATAGAGGTTTGTCTTTCATCGGTTATGTGTTCTTTTAATAGTTGAGTCCATTGTGCCACAGAGATTTGGGTTTTATTTTTCCAGTGCATGAGAATTGTTTTCTTGGCAATAGCTAGAGATATGAGTAGTGGTGCGGTGTGTTCTATTATATTGGGAATTATTGAGGTAACAGACACTTTCAAATCCACTTTTCCAATATCAAGAGTCTAAATACTACTATGTCTGTTAGTATTTCGACTCTTGATATTGGAAAAGTGGATTTGAAAGTGGTCCGAACTAAATGCAATAAAATCTGATCTGATATGGGTTTTTGCTGTTTGCCCATACACAAGCATATTATTATATGCATACACGCACATGCATAGTAAAATTTAGACATGTATTTAAAAAAAATAAAAAATAAAAAATTCCAAAGCACATAAACATACAGATTTTTGTATATACATATAACATGCAGTGTTATATGTATATGCTACATATGATATCATATAAAAAAAAAATATATATTATTAACATATGTACATATAAAATTTTTACTATGGGGATTTCATATGTTATAAACTTTTATATTCATCCACCCAGAGAATGTATGTATATGAAAATTATATATCATATATTGCAATTTTGGGAAACATATATTGCAAACTCTTAATATAGGGCAATATACAGTATGTCATATATTAGATTTTCTTATAGGTGC